TGGTCTGCAGGGTTTTGCTCAGTGTTGATGTAGTGCCACTGGTTAGGAAGGGAAGTCTTTCGGATTCTTGTAACTCTGTTAGACACATACACGTAGAAACGACGCGAAGCATTATGAATATAGCCTAACACAATTTTGCTATCTGTATAGAATGTCACTTTGTTAAAGGTAATGTCCATTTCATCTTTGATAAAGTCTGCCATGTCAACAGCTAAGACTGCAGCGCAAAGCTCAAGACGTGGAATGGTATGTGCTGGGCGTGGAGCTAGTTTGGATTTACCCATAATGAAGCCTACATGAATGTCACCAGAGATGGATACAGTCTTTAAGTAGGCAACTGCAGCAATAGCAGTGTTTGACGCATCTGAGAAGACACAAAGTTCTCTATATTGCGTTTGTGTGGAGAGAGAAACAGGGATGTATGGTCGTGAGATTTGCAAATGATCTAGTTCTCTTATGGAGTCTTTCCACAGTTTCCATTGCTCCTGCTTTAAAGCTGGGAGCTCTGCATCCCACTCATACTGCTCTGTGGAGAGGTCTCGCATTAACATCTTTCCCCCTAGGGTCACTGGTGCCACGAATCCAAGGGGGTCAAAAAGGCTGTTAACTGTTGAAAGTATTCCTCTTTTTGTCACAGGTTTCTCTTCTTGAGATACACGAAAGGTGAAAGCGTCAGTTTCGAGGTTCCAAGCGAGACCTAAACTCCTTTGCACTGGTGAGGGGTCAGTGCTGAGATCCAGGTCCTTTAAGTCTTTGGCTCTGTCTGATGCTGGGAAAGCGTGCATGACATGATTACTATTCGATGCTACTTTGTGCAGTCGGACATTTGACTCTGCTAACATTTCTTGTGATACTTGCACTATCTCAATGGCTGTTTCTGCATTGGGAAAAGATGCAAGCCCATCATCGACATAAAAGTTGCGTGTGATGAACTCTATTGCCTCGGATGTGGCATTTACTGCTTCGAGAGCTGCACGACGGAGACAGTATATGGCTATAGCTGGCGATGGACTGTTGCCAAACACATGCACTGTCATCCTAAACTCTCTGATGGGTTTCTGCAGGTCGTTGTCCTCAAACCACAAAAATCTTAAGAAGTCACGATGTTTTTCATCAACTGCAAAACAGTAAAACATCTGCTGCACGTCAGTTGTAACAGCGATTGGCTCTTTTCGGAAGCGGATAAGGACTCCAAGCAAAGTATTGTTCATGTCAGGTCCGCTTAGAAGCATGTCATTTAGTGAGACACCTTCATGTTTGGCACTTGAGTCGAACACTACCCTTATCTGATCCAACTTTTGTGGGTGGTACACACCAAATATGGGCAGATACCAGCACTCCTGGTCTTCTCTCAGAGGCAGGGCTGGCTCTGCTTGACCTGCAACGAACATCTTTTGCATAAAGTCAATAAAATGTTTTTTCATCTGAGGTTTTTTGTTCAGTGTGTATTGTAGTGATTTTAATCTTTTCATAGCTTGTGACTTGTTGTTTGGGAGGCGACCATGTGGTGTCCGGAACGGTAAAGGAGCAACCCATGTGTTTGAACTGTCCTTGTATACTTGTTGGTCTAATGTCTCCAAGAAACTTTTGTCATCAATTGAGAGAGCAGGTTTGTCGTCATCCTTTGTTCTTTGGAAAACCTTATTTCCGAGGTTGTCTGTTCCAACTCCAAGGAGCGGAATGGTATGTTGGGTTTGGGGTTAGCAGCTGTTTTGTTTAGTCTCTCTTTTACCAGGATGGCGCTTTCGCATGGACTGAGAAGAGTAGCACGTCCATCTTGAAGAATATTTGTTCTGTAAACATTAATGTTTTTTGGCTTGTGTTTTTTATCCAGACAAACCTCTCCTACAAGGACCCATCCGAGGTCAAGACGCTGTGCATATGGCTCATTGCGGGGCCCATTGTGCAGTTCTCTAACTTTGTGTACCTGAAGTACATCTCTGCCAAGTAAAAGGAGGATGTCTGCATGGGGATCAATGGCTGGTATTTTGTCTGCGACCGCTTTTAAGTGAGGATAGAGGCTAGCTACTTCTGGAGATGGAATCTCTGATCTGTCATCGGGTAGCATGTCACACTCTAAGAGAGCAGGAAGTGAGATTTGTACTGAGCTGTCTAGCGATTCAATGACAAAGTTGTTTGCAAGCCTGCCATTGACATCCATGACGCCTGCACAAGTTTTTAGAGTGTACGGCTCCAACACTCCTTCGATGCCAAATATGTCAAAAAAGTCTGTCTTTGCTAACGAGCGATTACTTTGCTCATCAAGGACAACATACAATTTGACTGCTCTGTTTGGTTGGCCAGCAGGGAACACTTTAGCCAAGCATATTTTAGAGCATGACTTAGGACCCAATAGGTTTTCACATACTTCAGTGCATTTATTTGTCACGTCAATGGTACGGGTCTCTTCTTGCTCCCCGCCATGATCTTCACTAAAGCTAAAGCTCTCTGGTTTGAGTGAAATTGGCTCAGGGTGTAAAGCTGTGACGTGGTTTTCACTATTACACTCTGCACATTTTATCTGCCAGGTACAATCTTTAGCGATGTGGCGTGCAGAGGAGCAACATTTAAAACAGATATTTTTCTCTTTAAGAATGTTCTTCCTCTCTGTTAGACTTTTACTTCTAAACAGCCTACATTTTTTCAGAGGATGTGGCTTGTGATGAAGTGGACAGTTCTTTTCTGGATCTGTGATGTCTCTTTCATTTGTCTTTTGGTTTGTTTCTGTGATATATGACACGTCAGTCTTTCTAACAGAGATGGGGGTTTGATATTTTGGTTTAAATGTCTTTTCTGTTTTGTTGCCCATTGCAAATGCTCCTGTAACATAAGCAAAGCTGGGGTCGTTGCGCATCTTGGCTTCGTCGTTTATGAAGTCTACAAAAAATGAGAATGGGGGATATGACACTTTTTTCTCCTTTTTAAATCTGGAGGCATTTGTCACCCACCTTTCTTGAAGATTGTAAGGCAGTTTGGCTAGGATAGGGTTAACACCATGTGCTGTGTCTAGATGGGAGAGTCCTGGGAGGAAGCCATTTAACTTAGCTGCATGAAGCTCTGTCAAAATGTCCCCCAATTCTCTCAAACGATGATTTTCCCTGTTTGATATTTTTGGGAAGTCTTCGATTTTCTTTAGCAGGGCATGTTCTATGATTTCTGGTGCCCCAAAACAGTCCTCTAGTCTTTGCCATACAGTGTGCAGACCTACCATGGGGTTGCCTACATATGCTGCTCTGATGCGCTTGGCCTGTGCAGCAGACTGAGGTCCAAGCCATTTGGAAAGCAAGTCTAGCTCCTCTTGTGGTAGCAAGTTCAGTTCTTGTACTGCACTCTGAAACGAGGCTTTCCAAGCCCAATAATTCTCTGGTTGGTCGTCAAATTTGAGTAGTCCTGAGCTGACCATTTCTCTTCTCATAAGATACTTAGCTAGACCTGATGCATCTGCTGGGCTATTGTCTGCAGGTCTGGGTGTATGTATATAGGGCTGAGGATAGCCAGGGTGGTTATCACTAGTCTGATTTGCTGCATAGTGGGTGTTATACCTGCTGTACTGCAGGTTATCTGGTTCGTACAGAACATTGGGCAGTGTTTTTAATCCTTGTTGTTGAACTGCTCTCGTTTTCATCTCCATTTGTGTTAGAGGTTGGAACTCTTGACTGAACTGGTGTTCACTTACCTCTTCATGGTTTGTTGTTTTGTTGTTTGTGGAGGGTGGTGGTGAAAGCTGCGTCAGCTCAGGATTGGAAATGCGGAGCGTTTGTACTCCTTTCAGTAACTCTGCTTGTTGCTGTACATACTCCTGTGTCCTTTTATCTGTATCCATGGGCGATAAAATATCTAGTCGGGACTGCTGTGGATCTCCATTTTCCTGCATGCACGATTCCCAAGCTTGAGCCTCAGCTATCGCTGCTGCTACCTCTTTTCTTGATTTGAGTAGGTGCAGATCTGCATCCAGTTCAGCCTTCTTCTTGAGCTGTTCAGCTTGTTCCTTTAATAACTCAGCTTCTTTTTGTGCATAAGAGAGTTGAGCGATGGCGGCTTCTGCTTTTGCCCGTGCCCTGGTTGCAGCAACAGATGATGTGGTGAGTTGGCTGGACCTGGTCCATCTCGATCTGGTCTCTAGCGTCTCCTCTAAAGCTGGATCTTGTGAAGAAGCCATGGCGGTCTCTGTTTTCAGCTTGGTGTCTTCATGGTGGAGCATTATGGATGGATGCCTTTTTACTATTCTGCCCTCACTAAACGTATGTAGTGTGTAGTTTAGCAGATAGCGAACAGACTTGACGTGAAGACAATGCTGAATGACTCTGTCATGTTTATTGCTTCAGCCAATAATAATTTTGTAAAACTGCAAATAAACAGACATAAAAAACAGTATAAGTCAGTATTTGCATTAAAAATGGAGTCAAAAACGTAGCTTGTACATATTTGTAACAGAAAAATACAGCTGCAGTATTATCTACTTGCAGAAATAAGTAAAATAAACACCCTAAAGTCCGCTAGCTTAACCGCGGCTAATTAGCATAAATTAGCATAACTATAGCGGCCGTTAGGCATAAAACTACACTGAAACATTACACCTGTCATTACAAAACACATCAACAAAATGAAAACTTACAGGCATATGCTCCCAAAAGCTCCGTGGAAGATATTTTCTCAGCAGATCCACCGTAATCCCTGCCTGACTGCTTTGTATACAATATAGAAACTAACCGAAGAAATTCCTTCTTTTAACAACAGGTTGAACAGACTCGCCACAAGGGGGCAGAACTGCGCTACAAATAGAAAAAATCCTTAGGAGACAGCACAATATATATATATGAGAGTCATAGGTACTTGTAGATGGCATTAAAGTTTATTTGTTAGAGCATTAAAAAGCATCAAGTTAGAGTTACTCTTTCCTGTATAAACCCTGGGTTAAATCTGACTTTAGTTTTGCACTTTTTATGCACATTTTGATCCTTTTTTTTTAATATTTTGCTTTGCATTGATAAACACGACAGGTCCTCCCACCTCCCCGCCTTCCTCCACGCTCCCCATGACAACGTTCGGAGCGACCACGGCAGCGCCGCCCACGGCTCCCAACACGATGCTCAGCTCAGATTGCGAGGACGGGCAGAAGGACTGTGGTGATGAAATGGGGGATCCCGACGACTACGAGCCTTTTCGTAAGAAAACACCAGTTCCTTCACCTCTTCAAGCTGATCCTCCCTGTTTAAACTTTTATTTTTAAAGGAAAACCTGATATTTTGTCTTTTTAGCAATAAAATAATCAACTTACAAATTCAAGCACAAGTTTTTATAACTTTTTTTTTACTAAACTATGGTTGTTTTTATAAAACCACTGTTTGCTGCACCATCACTTATTCAGCCTCACCTTTATCTACCAGATTATTATGACCAATAAGCATCAGAGGCTTTCATCAACGTTACATGTTTTTTGTTTTGTTAAAGGGGAAGGTATTTAGTGTTTTTGATGACATCTGTGCGGGTGGGGCATGACTCCCTGACCTTTGACCTAACCCAGACTGTCCCATCTGTCTGTAACAGGAGTCTCCGTGATCCAAACGGTCCCAGACGGTCCAAACATTCCAGGTGAGGATATTCCCCCGCAAACCTTCCCCCACTTTTTAAATGTTTTGTTCTGTGAAGTCTGTCACATCTCAGGTCGAGTTACATCACTTTCAACACAGGCTGAAAAGAAATGACACTTACTGATTTTAACAAGGTAGAAAAAAAAGGATGTACAATGTAGGATGTACAAGAATATCCCATGAAATTAAAAATAATTCCAAGCAAATGTTTTTGTTGGATTATTTTCCAAATGCGCCTTGCAGCAAGAAGGTTTGGGGTTCGATTCCCAGCCCAGGGTCTTTCTGCATGGAGTTTACTTCTTCTCCCTGTGCATGTGTGGGTTCTCTCCGGGTACTCCGACTTCCTCCCACAGTCCAAAAACATGACTGTTAGGTTAAATGGCTTCTCTAAATTCATCTTAGGTGTGAGTGTGCACGTGAATGGGTGTTAGATAGACACCAGCACCCCTTGTGACCCCGCTTAGGATAAGAGGGACAGAAAATGGATGGATGGATATTTTCCAAAAGAATTCAGTCAGCAAACATGTTCTTTTAACCATTCTGGACGATAAAACCTTAGAAAAGTACTCCACTTTCACATCAATTAAAAGCAAACAAACAAACAAAATGTGCTTCTCATCATCCTAAAAGCTGTCGCATTGACAACACGGCATGGGCACACTGGCATGTAAAGGAAAACTTAGAGCCACATGGCGTAAAAAAAATGTACCTTAAAAGAAGACATGAATGCACGTAAAGCGCAGTCAGACATTGCTGAACCTTTACAAATAAACTATCTGGCCTCAGCTGAAAGAGAAGAGTGGAAAAATTGAAAGGTTAAGCAGCATGACTGCAGTAGTAAACAGACAAAAAGGAGAGAATTGTGGTGAAAGAGAAGAACGGAGGGAGGATCTCCTGGAGAGAAAGAATAAAAGCCTCCTGGGTCTCAATTAGCTGAGCTGAAGCATCGCATGGAGGCAGTTTGGGGTCTGCCAGTGCAGCTCCGCAGTCATCTCTGCATCCTATTAGCCTGCAAAAAAAAAAACACAGACGTCTGAATCCATTTGAATGCTGTGGTTTAACTGCGGCGGCCGCTCCACCGCCAGCAGGAACCGGAGGAGACTTCCCTCATCCATCTCTGCTCCTCTGCTGAAACTGTTTAAGATGAAGCTGTTTTTAATCAGTGGTCGTCTCTTTATATACTCTTTTTATTCATTAAAAGATTTAATAAAGAGCTCTATTTCTCTGGTAGTAATACATTACTACCTTTACACAGCTTACAGTTTACTTTTCATTTCTAGTTCTTTCTGTAAAGTTTACTTAGAGTATACTTTAGGGACAAACCTGTTGTAGGAACTGAGCTGCAATGTAATCAAGTCTGGGGCTTAAATATTCATCTCTTAGAACTCTCAGGCTATTTTCTAGTACATCCTGGATACTTTCCAGGAGTGTACCCAATTCTAAATCTACCTGGAGCTCCATCTTGAAAAAAAATTCCATTATTCACCCAGGAACAGGTAGCAAATTGATCTGATCTTACAGGTTACTTTCCCTGAACTTACAGCGTACCTACTTGGAGCTCACTGGAAAAAATCGAAATCTAGATAAGTCATTTTTTTTAAATAAATGAAATTTTCTTGGATTTAGGAGGTAAAAGAGACATTTTGCTAATGGAAGACAATTTACACTTAAAATAAGAAAACACAATTTTATTTTCTTATTTCAAGTGTATATTATCTAATTAACTTATTTTAAGAGTAAAAATACTCATTCCATTGCCAAACTATCTCCTTTACCTACTCAAATTAAGGGTAAATACAGTTGATTTAAGAAATTTTTACTTATTTCTAGATCGTTTAAACTAGAATAAGTAAAAGTTTCTTAAATTAAGTGTATTTACCCTTAATTTCAGTAGGTTAATAAGATTATTTGCCAATGGAATCAGTATTTTTACTGTTAATATAAGATAATTATATGATATTCACTTGAAATAAGACAATGCATTTTTTTCTTATTTTAAATATAAATTGTATTGTTCCATTGGCAAAATATCTCACTTACACTATATTGCCAAAAGTATTTGCTCACCTGCCTTGACTCACATATGAGCTTAAGTGACATCCCGTTCCTAATCCATAGGGTTCAATATGACGTCGGTCCACCCTTTGCAGCTAGAACAGCTTCAACTCTTCTGGGAAGGCTGTCCACAAGGTTTAGGAGTGTGTTTATGGGAATTTTTGACTATTCTTCCAGAAGCGCATTTGTGAGGTCGCACACTGATGTTGGACGAGAAGGCCTGGCTCTCAGTCTCCGCTCTAATTCATCCCAAAGGTGTTCTATCGGGTTGAGGTCAGGACTCTGTGCAGGCCAGTCAAGTTCATCCACACCAGACTCTGTCATCCATGTCTTTATGGACCTTGCTTTGTGCACTGGTGCACAGTCATGTTGGAAGAGGAAGGGGCCAGCTCCAAACTGTTCCCACAAAGTTGGGAGCATGGAATTGTCCAAAATGTCTTGGTATGCTGAAGCATTCAGAGTTCCTTTCACTGGAACTAAGGGGCCAAGCCCAGCTCCTGAAAAACAACCCCACACCATAATCCCCCCTCCAACAAACTTTACACTTGGCACAATGCAGTCAGACAAGTACCGTTCTCCTGGCAACCGCCAAACCCAGACCCGTCCATCAGATTGCCAGATGGAGAAGCGCGATTCGTCACTCCAGAGAACGCGTCTCCACTGCTCTAGAGTCCAGTGGCGGCGTGCTTTACACCACCGCATCCGACGCTTTGCATTGCACTTGGTGATGTATGGCTTGGATGCAGCTGCTCGACCATGGAAACCCATTCCATGAAGCTCTCTGCGCACTGTTCTTGAGCTAATCTGAAGGCCACATGAAGTTTGGAGGTCTGTAGTGATTGACTCTGCAGAAAGTTGGCGACCTCTTCGCACTATGCGCGTCAGCATCCGCTGACCCCGCTCCGTCAGTTTACGTGGCCTACCACTTCGTGGCTGAGTTGCTGTCGTTCCCAAACACTTCCATTTTCTTATAATACAGCTGACAGTTGACTGTGGAATATTTAGGAGCGAGGAAATTTCACGACTGGATTTGTTGCACAGGTGGCTTCCTATCACAGTTCCACGCTGGAATTCACTGAGCTCCTGAGAGCGACCCATTCTTTCACAAATGTTTGTAAAAACAGTCTGCATGCCTAGGTGCTTGAATTTATACACCTGTGGCCATGGAAGTGATTGGAACACCTGATTCCAATAATTTGGATGGGTGAGCAAATACTTTTGGCAATATAGTGTACCTCCTCAATTCAAGTAAAAATGCACTTATTTTAAGAACAAAAATGACTTATTTAGATTATAATTTTTTGCAGTGTATAGGTTATCCTTTATCAGTTACTATTCAAAACTATTTGATTCTTTCTATTCTGACATCTATAGTGTTTAACCAGGACCTACAGGCTTCTTTCCTAGATCTTACACCTTACAGTGTGTAAGATCATAAACTATTTTGTTTATGGAAAACAGTTTTTTGCTGTGGCTAAAATATACACTATACATAAAATATAAACTTTTCCTAAATATGTCACCTTAGAAATTTTTTAGACCCTATTAATTACTTTCCTTGAACCTTATAGGATGCCTACAGGATGCTTTCTGTAACTTATCCTTTCTTAGAGCACGGTAAGGTAGATATTATTATTAGCCACAGCTCTACCCTCAGATCCCTCTCATCTAATCTAAAGGCTGCAAACCTTGATATAGAAAGTACTTTATAATTTATAACACAAATGTAAAGACAAAATGATTGTAAATGTTTTATATTTCAAGCAACTAAAATGATGTGATCTGGATGTGATGTAGTAAACAAGCAAACCTCAGAAAGACTAATTCATTGTTAGCTTATCAAAGAACAGGCATCTAAGGGTGTAGATAAATAACAACAGGCAGTTTTCTAAGCCAAACAATAAATTGATCTCTACAGACTGAGAGGATTCATCGTAGAAACATGAGGCAGCCTAACTTTACCTGATAAAGTTGGAAGTTTTCATCCTGTAGTAATTTCTAGTTAAACCGTTTTCCTTCTGGCTCCCAATTGTTTCTGTCAGGGAGGGTGGAATAAATCCCCATCACACACGTTTCTAATAAAGACGATCCTAAAACCCGAGGCCTTCTTCTCTACCTGACAGAGCTAAACGAGTTTGTAAACACAGCATGAGATTGGAGCATTAAACTTTATATTGTCGCTGTATGATGTTTGGCTCCAGGAGGCTTCTGGTAATTCCTGTTCTGGCTTCCTGGAAGGTTTCACCAAAGCAGATGGGGGAGCTTTGTTTAAGGGTGGCCGCTCATTAGTTAATAAAAAGGTTGGGATTCAGCTGAAGGATAATCAACTCCTTCAGGTTCCTTTTAAAGGCATTCTCTATGCAGATTGCATAAGGGATTTTTTTTCAAGCATGTTAGAACATCTATAAATAGAGAATGATGAGTGACATCAGTCTGGACAATACAAGATGTTTTATTTCCTTCATCATAAATGATATTTTTGCAAATTTGATAAGAAAATGCATCATATAACTTTATCAAACTTTGAGTATTCCTCTTGCAAACCTTTTGGTCCCATGTTGTTTTTTCTGTGTCCTCCAGATTACCTTTGGTTCGCCTGTAACTTTGACTTCCCATCATTATGCGGTTGGAACAAGGACGTCGGTTCAGGAGCCGAGTGGTTTATCCAGAGCACTGAAGACCCTGCTGTCCACAGACCGCCGGCCCTCGACCACACAGGTACAGCAAACATACCGCTGGAAGGAGACTTCGGAGAGAGTTCGACTCCACTGAGCGAAACCTATAAAATAATCTTTAATTAACACCCTGTAGACCAAAAGCAGCAGGAAAATAACAGCATTACACATGTTGCACTCATTTAAAAGGGCAAAATTGTGAACTGAAGCATTAGAAAGCTTATTCCTGCAGCAAAAGAGGAAAACTTACGATGCAGATCTGGTCAGCATTTTACCCTCATCATCGGCACAAATATCATGGTATTTTACATCTATTTCAGTCAATGGAATAAAAGGGATACAAATATATTCAAAGGATCGGATATTGCAATCAAATACATTTTTAAAACTTATCATGTTGAAAGTATTGCTGTTTAAAGGCACTTTTTAACAAGATTCGTTAGAGTGAGCAGTAATCTGAACAATGGGAAGGTTTAAAATAGATTTCAGGAGGGTCCAATTCCTCAAATCACTCCCTCTATGGGCTCTGTGACCAATGGAGGATGCAGAAAACGTGGATCACTGGAAAAAAATGAGTATTATCGGGCAGCTTTCTTAACTACAGTGTAGTTTTTAACAATATATTATATTTATCCAAAACAGACTTAACTTCCTGGTCTTTTAATAACGATTTTCTTAAATCTTGAGCATTCTCACTAAGAGATCATTCATAATAATTACTAAAATAAACAGCAAAAAGCAAAAAAGTAACAGTCCCTTTTAAAAAAACACCTTATGAAATACATTTTTTATGTTTAGAATTATTGCTGTTTGCCACTTTTTAAAATCAATTCAATTCAGTTTTAATTATATAGAACCGATTCACATCACGTCATCTTAAGGCATTTTATAGAGACAATTCAATCAGATCATCCAGTCAAACTGATTCAAAGTTTTCTATGTAAGCAAAACCAGTTGATTGCATCGAATCATTGACTCAAAGGCAATCCCTCTCACCAAGCATGCTTGTAGAGACAGTGGAGAGGAAAAACTTCCTATTAACAGGAAGAAACCTCCAGCAGAACCAGGCTCAGTGTGAGCGGCCATCTGCTGAGGCCGACTGGGGTTCAAGGAGACAGAAGCAGAGAAAGAAAAAGAGGCAGAGATACAAAAGACAAGCCAAAAAATTTGAATCACCATAGTCACAGCAGATTGAACAGATCGGTCGTGTCCTGGGAGTACCAACACATATTTGAACAAACACTTTTTTAGTCCATGTCACTACCCGTTTTGTCCCAGAAGCAAGATGCGTTCTGCACATGCGCCATCAGCTCATTTGCACATGCGCATACAGATATACATTTTTTTCATTTTTATTTTGTTAAAAAGACCTAAATGGCGTTTTTCCCTCCCCAAACATAGTAAGCAAACTAAAATATAACGTCTTAAAGGTTAATAATGTATTTCCTCAGAAAATAAATGCCTTAAAATCCTTTCTTTTTTTATCCTTCGTCTTTTCCCGATCTGCACCGGAAATGGGATCCTACGCTACGTCCGGTAACTAGCTTTATCGGCTTTGGATTTAAACATAAATCTAGTCTTTTTGAGTTATCTTTTCCTTTCGTGTTAACATTATGGTATATAGTGCGTATTCTAAAGAAAGAAACAACTAAAATGCAGATAAACATGTTTTAATCATATTTTGCTGGACTGCTCTGAGCGTGTCCCATGATGACGTCAGAGAAGCAGTTTAACGTAGAAAATGTAAAAATCATCTAAATTGTCCCACAAAAGTCATAAAACATTTTTAAAGACGTGTATTAGCATTCTTTACTGAGTTAAGGATAGAAATGAGAAGTTTTAGTACAATAATTACATTATTTAAGGACACCCGGATATATATCTGTTCGCGCATGAGCAGGATGGATCAGGTAGTGACTCATTTTATCCAACAGTCAGCTGCAGCTAAACTGTCAGAGCTCTATTTGATTGAAATTCTTGTTTAAGTGAAACTACCATAAATTCATGTTGTCACATAAAATATTCAGCGGTCCAAGTAAAAGCTTCTGAGAGTCTGGACAGAGTTACTCTAGACAATTCTTTTTTTATGTTTGTACCCTGTGTGGAGTCTGTGGTGAGGCTTAAGTTGCACTAATGGCTGATCTTTTGTGATTTTTCTTCAAAAAACTGTCGCCTCTCAACAAGGCGTCAACGACAGCTGAGGCGTTGGCTCAACAAATCACTCTCATGACCTAATAGAGACTATAGAGGTAAATAGAGCAGTGGCGGCCGGCCCATAGGGGGCGCTGGGGCACCGCCCTCCCTGATAAGAAGAGAGAAACGTAAAATATATTTTTAGAAATTAACTCATAAATGTCAGTTTTACTCTCTAGACTGTGTACCTATAAGCAAAACAAATTATATAAACTACATTTCCCTATCTACTGTCATTCATTTGTGGATTTCCACAGACAGACTCCTACCGTCTCTGTTCTGGGGGCGCTGATCAGACTGACCCACATTTGCAGAGAATCTGTCAATCATGTACTATTGCTAGGTGAATTTAATGGCCAATCAGCGTCTCGGAACTTTATGGTCTTGGGGCGCTGAAAATACTGCGCTTTAACAGGCTTCTGAACCCAAGCGCAGGTGCAGACAATTAGAGGGAAGATGGCGAATGTAACGAGCGAGATGCAGCTTCCACCAAATTCGGTGAGATCCTTATTTATCTACCCGTTTGCCAGAAGAACATCCCTGTTGTAGGATATGAACATTTCCTGTCATGGTTATTGTGACTGTGACGAATTCACCTCGTCGCTTAAAACAACCTCTCTAACTTTGCGCGCCACACACACATTCCTGTTATACTGTGTTTGTGAGGACCAATACACTCGCGCTGAGCCCAGTAGCTCCATTAACTTAAAACACACAAGCTGTTCCTGGTTACCTGCTGGCATATTGAGGGTGCACACTTAATATTTCAGTGGGGTTAGCCGTGTGTGTGTGTGTGTGGGGGGGGGGGGGGTGTACGTGTTTATGCTACGGGGACTTGTCATCTTCAGTCTGGCTGCGTCTTTGCTGGGTTCAAACCCAGTTTGGTGTAATTGAATAAGTCAATGAATCTGTGTAAAAGAATTAAGTTGTAAAAATTATTTGTTTTTGTACATCAATTGTTTGTGGAGGTAATATATGGACAAAACTGATTAATGAGAAGAAATCAGAAATAAGAGAGCCTGAGGGTAGGGGCTTAAACTATTTAATGAGGGCTGTGGGAAGAAAAGCAGCAATTTTTGTTTTCTGTTTCTTTGTTACATTGCTGGTAACTGGAGGGAGGCTGAGGCCCAGAGTATCTTGTATGTTTAGTTTCTTTTGCACCCTGTTTTGAGTTTTTGAGCTCAATAAATCACCAACACCGGTAACTGAGACTGGATTCTTGGAGGCCAAAGAACCCCGTCACAGTGACCCAAATCATCACTGTTACTGTTATTATATAGTAAATTAAATCATTACTGTTAAATTGTATGTATTGTCCAATTGTTTATTTGAATTCTTATTCCGGATTAGTTGGAGACATACACTAGGCTATATCAGCCCCACCAAAAATATTTTTCACCAGCCACCACTGAAATAGAGGGAAGCTCATCTTACATGTCAGAGGATAGTAAAGCTATCTATGGGCTAGAAAATTGGTATTTAACTTTTAAGCTCAATGCTTTTAAAGGTATATTTTAATATTTCAGCTGTGTTTGCATTTAGGATTATTTTTCCAGAATCACTGGGACTGACTGACTATTTTTTTTAAACATAGACTTTACTTTCCAGGACCTTAAGGGAACTTTCCAAGAACTTCTGATGGGAAAATATATCTAAATGACAGTTTGTTGGAAGTTACAGGTTTCTTTCCAGCACCGATCGGTGACTTTATGGAATATGAAGTTAAACTGCTATGAATATTGTAGGTTTATCTTGTTAACTTCTTGTCTCTTATTATGACCTGGCTGTAACTCAGGTTTTCCTTCTCTATTTTTTTTGATACTGAGGTCCATAAACTCTTGTTAAAATCAATTGAAGATATTTATTCTAAAATCCTCCCTATGTGGAAACATAAAAAGCTAAAGTTATTTACATTAATTTCAAACTTGGGGGTTTATTAACTTATTAAAAGACCTTTATTAAAGTATATATCCCATATTTAGGTAATATAAACCTAAATCTGTTCATCTCCTATAGACCAGTATATTTAGGAATCTTCTGAGGCGGCTGTATACCTTCTGCTTTTGCAGTTCTGTAAAGATATCCAGAGATTTATAACTAATAGGCAGGATGTTTGGCTGCAAACAGAAGGAACATTCAGAAGTTTTCAGGCGTTAAAACATTTTAAAAGCGATGGAGCAACCTTGAAGAGCTCGACTTTTTGGAAAAGAAGCTCAACAAAGAAATCCATCAGCGTGCTTCACCTCTCTGGCCTTCGTCTCCATTCCAGCCTGATGAGTTTGATGGATGTTTGTGTGGAGGCGACGGCAGAAAAATGAATGATTTCTCCTTGATTCCTTGACTTAACCAGATCACAAGTAAAAAATTAGCTCTTTGTGACGACAGGGCTGACTTTTCTCCTGATATTCAAGCCTTTGTTTTCTCTGAAAAACCTTGTGAAGTCCTTGATGTCTTTGGGGTGTTTGAGGCGTATATTCTGAATGTGAAAAGCCTCTTTGACCCCAACGCACTTGAGAGTTTCAGAGGCTTTTATAAAGCACCTCTTTTCACTGAAATATTAGTAGAAAAAGCTGCATGTTTGATTCATGAAGCCTTTCAGCAGCTCATAGCTGCCTGTCATGTCTTGTCTTTTGCTGCCCCCTGCAGGCAGTCCAGGGAACTTCATCTACATGCAGCTAACAGATGCAATCACACCCATTAAAACTGGAGATGACACGAGTGAGGAGGAGAGGGTGGCCCGGCTGGCCAGTTTACCCATCACCTCGCCGGACGGCAGCCTGTGCATGTCCTTCTGGTACCACATGGCTGGCGAGCGAGCTGAGGTGCTCCGCATCAGCTACAGGGAGGAGGGCGACGAGCTGGTCCTGTGGTCCATGAGTGGCAATGAGGGCAGCAGATGGAGAGAAGGCCGGGTTTTACTTCCACAAAGCAGAATCCCATATCAGGTAAGGAGCTAAAGGGGGACTTACTCAAAGTAAAGTCAAAATTAGTTAAATTGCAGATATTAAGAGATTGAAGATTGAAGAAGAGAGATTCTGTTCAGGTCCTGATAAAAAGGCTACTTCTTGGATTGTAGAAGTTTCCTCAGCTTTATATTATGATATAATGTTCTTGAAGTTATAGTGGAGGGTGTTCTTTTTCTGGGTGGATCATCAAAATAAGTGGTCCTCCTAATTGTCAATCATTCTGGTGATATGTTTACATCCTATGTGCTCATGATAACAAATGGAGCTTCCTCTTTAAAAAGCCTCTCTTACGTTATTTAAAAACCTTCCATTAGTTTACGGTGCCTCCTGTCTGCTGCTGTTTGCAGGTGGTGGTTGAAGGAAGTGCAGACAGACACACCACTGGACACATAGCAGTGGATGACATCAAAATCCTGGACGCTCTGGACATTCAGGGCTGCAAGGGTGTGTTTCATTAATAATAAACTAATTAACTCACCAGCAAGTTTCCATCTAGTGAGACAAACATTCAGGAAATGACATCATGATGCATGATTCTTGTTTTTGTCTCCAGACCCAGAAGCTCCAACGTCTCCTTCCACTAAGATCCTAATGCTACGTAAGTATTGTGCATTTTGCATCCTGAGAATGATTATTTTGACAATTTTAATAGTAAAATGAATAAAATAAACATTTAAAAATAGTAACTTAAAGTCATAGAGAAGTAATATTTAACTGTCAAATCATTCTGGCTTAAATATGTGTATAAATGTACTCTTTATCAGACTATATTTTCCCAAAATTTAGAATATTTCTATTTTTTTAAATCCTGTCTTAAATCAGCGGGGTTTTTCCTTACCTTATGCAGGCCAGTTAGTTATACGTCAGCTTGTACACCTAAATTCGGCCAATTATATATCATCGGTCGTCTGTTAATCAATTTTTTCAGTCATAGCATCTTGATTCTTATATCGCAGCTAATATACGCAACGGCTGAAATAAGAAATAAGAAAAATTTAATTTACCCTTGAATTCCGTCCTGGACGGTCTGGACATTCAGGACTGCAAGGGTGTGTTTCATTAATAATAAATAAATTAACTGAACAGTATAACAAGTCTCCATCTAGTGAGACAAACATTCAGGAAGTGACATCATGATGCATGATTCTTGTTTTTGTCTCCAGACCCAGAAGCTCCAACGTCTCCTCCCACTGAGATCCTAATGCTACGTAAGTATTGTGCATTTTGCATCCTGAGAATTATTATTTTGACAAATTTAAAAGTAAAATGATTAAAATACAACAATATTTAAAAGAATAAACATTTAAAAATAATAACTTAAAGTCATAGAGAAGTAATATTTAACTGTCAAATCATTCTGGCTTAAACATGTGTATAAATGTACTCTTTATCAGACTATATTTTCCCAAAATTTAGAACATTTCTATTTTTAAAATAATCCTGTCTTAAAATCTGTGGGTTTTTTTCATTATCTTATGCAGGCCAGTTAGTTATACGTCAGCCTGAACACCTAAATTGGGCCAATCATATATCAGCGGTCATCTCACAGTCATAGCATCTTGATTCATATGTAGCAGCTAATATACACAATAGTTGAAACAAGAAATAAGAATCCTTTCCTTTCCCATTGAGTTCCGTCCCAGTGTTCATGGGGATGGACGTCTGTGTCTTCAGCAGGCGTAGAGCTAACAGAACTGGCAGCGTTGCGAGGCAAGGGCTCAAACATGTACGGCTGTAAATCTTCGTCCCCACTTTTCTCTTCTAAATAAAACTGTATGAGGGAGGAGACTCATCCACGACCTCTGACACAAAACTCTCCTCCTCTTGCATGTTTCCTCTGTCCATAGCGTTCCTTGACAGTGTCGTTTCTAAGTCACCAATTTAGTGATACTTGGTCCCAATGGATTTTCTCATTGGGAACCTACTAGCACTAAGTTGCTAAATGGTTAGCAAGATGCTTCCAACAAACCGGCCACAATCAAACTTGCTTGCGAACCTTCCACCACAACAATCCCGCCTCCTTGATAAACGACCAATCGCATTCACTTTATTCACTCGTGTAAAGTCGTGCACCACTCAGGAAAATTCGGAAAGGCAACGGTTGGAACAGCCGCTTCTCTACGACTTTAACTGAGCTGAATAATTGGTAGATGCTGTCATTTTTTGGCACATTTCCTAAACACAACAAAATTTTAAAATTGCTTCAGGTTACTGGTGAAACCTGTGCATATCTGTCCAAAGCGATGCTCTGATCAACCAGTGTTCCAGGCGACTGATTGGATCAGTCCTATAAGTTTGGGGTTACTCTCTGGCTGTCACCTAGTTACCACTCAAAGCTGTGCATCCTGCGAACCACCAGCTAAGCAACAGACTACATAGGAGTTGAATCTAAAGCTTTTATTGGTTCTGAAAGAAAAGAGATTTGAAAAAACATCTTAGTTTTTTTCCTAGGCTATAAATTGTATCTGTCCATCCATCCATCCATCCAACAAATTTTTCCTCCGTTCTGCTATCAATCCATAAGTCAATCAAACGATTCATCTTTCTTTCCAACCGTCTTTTCATCCATCCATCTATTTTTTATTTTTCTTTTATCTATTTGTCAACATTAGGATGATTGTGGATCGGTCGGAGAGTAGTTGTCTCTCAATCGGAAGATTGTAGGTTCAATTCCAGCTTCCCCCCGTTATACACCGATGTGCCCACTGATCTGTGTCAGCATTGACTTTGGCTCTAATGTAAAGCCCTTTGAGTATTTCCAACAAAATAAAAACAATCCACTGGACTTTGCTTCCAAGTTTGAAGATGTTTCACTTCCCATCCAGGATGCTTTTTCAATTAAAAATGTCTGAAATAGCGTACAGTTCAAGGCTTTTTTGAAATGAATGTGACGCCACAGACAAACGGGTCCACCCATTTGGAATGGGGATTGTTTGGGTTTATTTGTTAGCCTGTAATACCCGATATACCTGTCTAGGTCTCTGAAAGGGGGTTGTTAGAGGGAATTGGTCTGGATGTAGAGGCAAGGTGCTCTATTCCCCTGTAATGGGGTGGGGGCTGCAATGATAGCGGGAAGGAATCAACTCAATCGCTGAATTTTAGGTTAAACAGAGAGTCCACCCCCTCTGTTTAAGGGTGGTTTTTCTTTCTTAACATAGATAACAAAGAAAAAACAATATTTGGGCAGTCAGCATGACTAGAAAATTCATATAAATATTATTTACCATCTATCTGTCCAAAGATTTTCTCTTCTTCTTTGGTTTCCAACCATCTAACGTGAACATCTTTCCATCTGTTGCAGCCATGGACTCCCTCTCTCAGGAAACAGGTGATCTCGGCAGACCGGGCAACATGCTGAAGACCATAGACCCCATCCTCATCACTATCATCGCCATGTCAGCTCTAGGCGTCTTCCTGGGAGCCATCTGTGGCGTTGTGCTGTACTGTGCCTGCTCGCAGGGCAGCATGACCGACAGGAACTTATCTGCCCTGGAAAACTATAACTTTGAGCTGGTGGACGGCGTCAAACTAAAGAAGGACAAGATGAACGGACAGACAAACAACTACTCAGAGGCGTGAGCTTTAGAGACAAAGGGGCAGGGCCACGACGGCTCTGTGAGTGGACACGTTACAAGCAGCCAACTACGGGGCTGACGCCACCAATGGGACAGCAGGGTTGGCTGATAGTGAGCCGATTTAATTTTGATTTCTCAGGAGCGGTGGTGGAAGAGACTCACCTGTAGGGGGTGCTGTGTATAAAACAACCTGTACAGCAAAACAAAAAAAAAGAAGAAAACTGAGGATTTTCTTTGTTTTTCGGCGTGCTTTGTTGATTTTGCGTAATCACATGCTGGTGTTGAGACCAATTCAGATGAAAGTATCGTCAGTGAACTATAACTGAAAGTTTTAATGTTTCTGTTTGTTGGTTTTCTCGTCCTTTTGTGCGAAAGTTTATGCCGAATGAGCAAAAGTTAGCCTCACACGTGTGTGAAAGTGTGTGTGGATGCCTCACACTCATTTACATCTGCATCCGAAGTGTGTGTGAATAACTGAAGGGTGTGTGTGAGTGTGTGATCTTAACGCAGGACCACCGTCCTGCTCGAACAGTGCCTTTTTTTTCCTGTTTTTCTGTTGCCTTGTTTTCTGCTGGTTGTTTTTCCATCTGCTGGGATTCTTTCCAGGGTTCCTACATGGACTAAGGGAAAGTTTGCAGGCTGTGGCCGTGAATCAGCATCGTTTTATCGCTGTGATTTTAACATAAAAGCATCTGGTTACACTGACATTCACTCAGCTGTTGAGTTCCAGGTTTATATCCGTAGAACTGAAGAAAACTATGAAAGTTCCCAATATAGTAAATGTGTAGGAGCCCTGAATGCCTCATATTCATGGCACATTACACCTCCAACTTATTGTATATAGGTTTTAATATATATTTGAGCGCCCTTTTCTATAGAGGAAGAAAGCAGTACTGCAGTATCTTTTTGGGATCTCCTTTTTCACCTGATGTTGAATGATGTGGCAGAGGAGAAAACACACACAAGAAAAGGAATTTATGTCTTTAGATGGTATAAAAACAGACAACATATCAGTCTCAGTGCAAACAAGAGCAGTGATGATATATTTGATCTATTTTGACATGAGCTCAGAAGACTATATTGTAGGAAATGTAATCCCCCTTTAGTTACCATTCTTATCAGTGAGATTAAATACTTGATTTAAAGTCTTAATTTTAATAATAATTGAACTTTATTGATCTCACACTGGAGATATTTACTCTCTGCATTTAACCCATCCCCTTAGGGAGCAGTGGGCTGCCATTGTGCGGCGCCCGGGGAGCAGTGTGGTGTTAAGGGTCTTGCTCAGGGACCCAGAGTGCAGGCTGTGGGGATTGAACCGGGTACTTGCAATCTTCTCAGAGCACAGTCACACTGCTCTAACCACTAGGCCAACACTGGCCCAACACATTTGCAGTACAAAGGCTGAATTTCATATATTTCCCGTTTTTTTCAGGAAATTAGATTTAAAGGAATAAAAAAAACAGGAGTTTAATTGACTATCAAGCCATTGGACTCCATAGTCTTTCATCTTTAAAATCATAACTTAGTAGTAGTCTTGTCCAATTAGATTTTGTGCAGATTTCTAGCATCTGTCCCCTGATGCAATACAAAATGCTGGGTTTAATTTCCACAGGCGATCCAGTCCTTTTATATCCAAATGAACGCTCCGTCTGTATTGTAGGCACAAAGCTGAGGGAGTTTGAGAGCATATTAATGCTCTTATTACTAACCCTGATTGTGGAATTCAAAGACTGGATCATAAGGCTGGTGATGGAGAAAATGGAAGCCAATCTGGGAACATCTGGGTCTCATCTACACTTTTATGCAGATGATATGGTGTTGTTAAGCCAAAATTTGGACCAGTACCTCTAAATTGGATGGCAGTATTTGCTAAAAGCAGAAAAGTTAAAGGATGTTGATGAAGGCAGAACGAGGCTGGAAATAGAGTGTGTCTGTGAAGAAACATCTGTGCTAAAAGGCAAACCCTTTTGATTGTTTGATCTATACTTTAACACTTGCCTTTATTACCAATAATATAGAGTGTAATCGAACACAAACCCGAGTGACTAAAAGAAGGTTTATTAGCAACTTTATATTATCATTTGAGGTAGGATAACTAGCTGAGAATATTAATTCCAAAAATAAAAAATAAAAACAATCCATTGGACCTGGTTTCCAAGTTTAAAATGTCAGGGATAGCGTTGAGTTTGAGGTTCTATACAGTAGCCCAGCAAAGCCTTGTTTTTGTGTTAAAACATGCAAATTGGAACAGGCGAAGGAGTCAGACCAGTTGGAATGGGGTCAATTGGCTTCTTTTGTTAGACGGCAATGCCTCATACCCATCTAAGGGTCTTAAAGGTCGGTCGTTGAAGGGGATTGTTGGATTGGCTGAATAGACGAGGTCCTCCACTGTCATTTGAAGTGGAAAAGCTTCCTGGACGGGAAGCAAACCTTGGAAATAAAGTCCAGTGGATTGTTTTTATGGAATGACTGAGAACCTTCACCAGCATAGCTGAGAATAGCATCACTCTTTGACAGCGTTTGAGCATAGATTGGGATTGTTGGTAATCTTTGTAGGTTCTCGTAGTAACATCCTATTGGTAGGTGACCCTTTGCCAAAACAGGAATTAACAAGAAAAACAAACAAAAATTGTTCAAGTCTTGGACTTCATTGGTATAATAGGGGTGAATCACATAGGAGAAGGACTGTAGATTTCCATTGCCTCAGCAATAAATCTCTTGATTTATTTCAAATTTTGCCAGAATGAACTTTGCTTCAGTTGAGGCCTCCAAATTTTATTCTAAATGTTCAGTCTACTATAATTACTGTAAGCCTTTTAACATTCATAAACACTGTTTTATCTAAAACCGAATTATTATATCACCTTTAGAAACGCGGGATTATAAAACTGTCATAGTTTAATAACTTCTTTCTGTTCCTGAACAAGACAAGAAATACATTATATTTACATAAGAAACTGGGAAGGCATAATGTGTTTACTCCTCTTTCACAGGAAGGTTGTTTTAGTCAGACCCCAATGAATAAAAAGGATGCTGCAGCACTCCACCTGAAAACAAATGTTGCACTGATATATTTAAAAAAGAAAAAATCTATGTGTTTATGATGTTGATTTATGAAAAGAGAGGAGGATGGACAGTAAGGACAGTGTTATTGTTGCTTCTTTTGAACATGGTTTCAGACAGCCGTGGTAGAATTCTGAATTGTACAATTTACAGAGATGTTTTTCATTCTCGAAAAAGCTTATATACGAGTAACAATTTTATTTACTTGGTATAATATCACCTTGTGTTTTTTTTTTGTACCGTCACTGATGTACGTGCCATTGTTTTCTTCTGTTTTTCTTTGTATGACAAGAGAAGATGTTTTATTTTATGTACTGTTTCTGTAGTTTTCTTGTCTAAAAAAACAAAGGAAAACAAGAAAGTTAAAAGAATCAGAAAGCTGTGAGGCCTTATGTGACTTAAAGTATTGTTTGTACTTTGACTTTTTGCTCAGTACCCGACTCATCCATCTCTGTTGTTTCAGATTCTCATCACTGACTATTACATTCCAAAGAATTGGGTCAAATAAATGTTTTAAATAAAAGTCGTCATGGTTCTATTTTGTTTGTTTTTGTTTTTAAGTCACATCTTAGACTTTATGTTGAAATTTTGAAACTAACCTTTCATTGTCTTTTATCATTAAAATGTTGGTTAATTTAGCTGATGTCATTTTATGCCCGTTAGCAAACATAAATCTATGGAAGAGGACTAGAGCCACTGAAAAAATAAATAAAAAGTTAACTAATTTTTAAATATTATTTCACTATAATATGGGGGGGAAAATCTGAATTCTGACTTTTTTCTCAAAATTATGGGCTTTGATTTCAAAATTCTGCATTCTTTTCTCAGAATTCTGACTTTAATCTCAGAATTCTGACTTTTTTCAAAAAATTCTCGGTTTGATTTCAGAATTCTGAGGGTTTTTTTCTCAGAATTCTGACTTTAATCTCAGAATTTTGGAACTTGAATGTATGTAATGTAATGTAGACTGGCTTTGTTTGTTAGCTGTCAGAATTCAGTCAGAATTCTGAGAAAAAAAGTCAGATTTCTGAAATTAATTCAGAATTCTTTCTTTTTCCTCATATTATACTGAATTAAAATGTATATAATTTTACAAATTATCTTTTGTAGCTATTTATTAGCAGTGTTAAAATTCCCATTGGCAATTCTGCATTTAAAAGGTAGACAGTTTTCGTGATTGTTTCAATACTAATATTTTAGCATGCTAATGCTTTATGCTTGTGTTAATTGTACTTCTGCTAAAAGTACCCTACATGCATTAATAAGATAAGATAAGATAAGATAATCCTTTATTTGTCCCACAGTGGGGAAATTGCAGCGTTGCATCACAGTACAGTAGGAAAAAAGAAGAAGAAGAATACAAAGTATAAAAAAAAAAATATTTAAAAATATATAAAAAAAAAAAAAAAAAAAAAAAAAAATAATATATATATATATATATATTAAGTATATACAGACAGACAAGGCAACACTGGTATAAAGTGACAACACTGGTATAAAGTGACAATACCAGAGGGCGGCATAGAACCCAAAACTACGGAGCCCCTCTGATGACATGGTCAAAAAGAAAATTTAATTGTGGCCACGAAGTAGTATTTCGTGCGCACGAAATACTACTTTGTGGCCACGCAATACGTATAACGTGCGCACGAAATACTTATTAATAATATTAATATCATTCCTGGACAACTGGGTAAGCAAATCGAGCGCGCCTTAGACCTTAGAGAAGGCCCATGTCATCAAAGGGGCTCCGTACAAAACTTTTACTCAAGTAAAAGTAGAAAGTAGTGACCAAAGAAATCACTTCAGTACCAGTAAAAACGTACTGTACTGTACTGTAAAATGGTTACTCAAGCACAGGGTAACTGTCGGCTGATAGCATCTGATTTAATGATTAAAATGATTTCATTAGATGGAGAGTTATGTGTCAAACAAGGAATTTCTAAGTACAAAATGAAATACACTACAAAATAAAAATAATAACAGGCAGAAGAAAAACGTTTTAAAATGAAACTTTCGAAGATAAACTTGTACAGTAGGTAATGAATGACATGTCAGCAATAGATAAAAACTTCCACCAATAATATCTACTATTGATTACCAAAAAGTTACTCCTAGTTAGTGGAGTACTACCTCATGAATATTACTTACCAGTAATTTAAAAATACAGTCACATTCAACATGTCTCTTTATTTCACTTTTGGTAAAAAAAAAACAGTGATAGAATCTGTTGAAAACCAACTTTAGCCAAACGAAAGCATGGTTTTCACACAGTGATGTCCATGAAAACTCTGACTAATCCAAAATCTATTGTGTAAAATGACATGCATCCACATCTGGACTGATCTGATGGGGGGAAAAAAGTCCCCAAAGTGGAAAACTACAGAAAATCCAGAGAAGTTTAGCTGTAATGCTGGATGTGAAAGTCCTGGAGTCCTGGGAGCATGAGGATTATACAGCTGGTGGCCATTTTTTGCACACTGTGAATCTCATTGATAGGCGACAGAGAGGGTTGCTCATTTTTAACAGAAGTTCAATAAAACATGTCTATTCTCTTTAAAAAATTTTCTTTTTCAAACCAGGGTTTGTGGATATTGTGAACATCTCAGTATATTGCGTTTGCCATGTTAATTACGTGTCATTATTCATTTTGACCTGTCTGTATCTGAGTAATTTTCAAAGAGCCTAAGACTGCAGATTCTTTAACTAAGTTTTGAAAACAATACAAATTCTTGAGCTCATTCAAAGAACAACATTAAAGTTGATTTGTAAAAAAATAAATGTATTTATGACATAATGCAACTGTCCATTAGTGGTTCAAGACACTGACCAAAGGATGGAGACAGTTGACAGTTTAATGAAAACTGCAAAAAAATATATATATATATTTAATCACATGTAATCATATTTAGATGGTATATATAAATAACAGATGTAGATAAATGGTTGTTGTAGGTCTAATTATCTTGGAATAATCCCAAGTCTCTCCAAGGAGCCCGTTTCTGAAACTATAATAATAAATATGATTACTGTAAGATATCTCATTTTAATATAATCCTTAA